AAATGATGCAGAGGTGTTGGGATGTGGATCCATCTAAAAGACTAACTAGCAGAGAGCTGTTTGAGTTTGCTTATAATTATTCAAATTTCTAAAATCAAAAAACATGAAATCGATTTTAATAATGATAGCAGCAGCAGTGGCGATGGTGGTGGTGGTAGTGGTACTTCACAACAAGCACACAAATCACATCCAGATGCATATCATACAAGTAGAATATTAGATGAAGAGATTGCTAAATCTAAAAGCTTTAAAATTTATACAAGTAATGATAGTTTGTTAAGTAATCTTGATTTTAACTCTTTTCTCTAGAATGTTAACAAAGGTGAATAAAAATTTCATTATTAATAAATTGGAATTACTATCCATTAATCATTACTTACAAGATCAATTAATAAATTAAACTCTAGTAAAGCGATGAATGACTAATTAATCACTCCACTATAAATTTATTATCTTCTTTTTATTTATCTTTTTATTTTATAATAAACTTTCTACAGTTTGTTAAATGGTAATATTGTGAGGATCATTTTGGTTAATTAACAATTATGGCTTAACTTTGGGTTGTTAATAATTCGGTGCTTAAATTAATTAGTTTACGAATTTACTTTGGTTCTCGATCACTGCATCTAGACGAATCTGTGAGCACCCTTAATCGATTTGTTTCGGTTGTTTACCCTTATTTACATTTATTGGCCATTGCAAATTCCCTTACATTTACGATTACAATAATAATATTACCGGTATTTCCGATTAACCTTTGGATGATAACTTCATTGATACCCACTAGTTAACCAACAACGTTAGTCCTAACCTTGCTTATTTGCTCACTAAAGCAAACAAACGTGGCTTTTTGCCAAAGCCTCACAATTGTTGCCTTTTACCAAGGTACTAAATACGATTTAAATAAAGAAAATAAAGACAATGTATTTTATTTTTATTTTTAAAAGTTATTAACGTTTAATTTTATTTAATAAAAATAATGATTCTAACACAGTTTTGTTTTATTAGAATGTCAATTATCTATTATTTTCCTCTACAGTTATGCTTTTTCAAGCAAAGACCAGAAGTTAACCTTGATGAAATTTTCGTTGTCCACTATAATAAGGATAAAGATAAAGATGAATCAATTAATTAGTCGACCCTGGAACATAAAGTACCGAATCCCTAATCGATGATGATTTTATCTACCCGATCATGTATGTATCACGTTATAAGTGTGAACTTGTATTCAGCAAAAGAAAAGCTTAGCTCCTTGGGAACAACTGATAAGATTGGGATACACGAGAAATATTAAAAAAAAGACCTTGCAATACACAAGTTTATTTTGTGTGCTTTTATATTTAAAACAATTTTACTTGCGTCATTTTTGACTTGATGGAAGCGAATTTAACGTAATAGTTTTACAACTTTGATAACATTTCGTCAAGCAACGTTACTTTCAACACCTTACCTGTTGGACTATTCCGTCAAATACAGAGGAGAAATATATATTAAAAAAAATGTATATTCAATAATATGTAAAGTTTTGCAATCAATCACATCAGGTGTATTTTTTATAAATAATGGTTTTTTTGTTGATCATTAATTTTCATTTTCTCTTAATCAAATCACAGTTTTCAAATCTTTCTTCGCATATCCTCTATTATAAAAAAATATGGGAACCGCAATTAGCGGCAATTCAATTTTCATATGCCGAACCGCAACCGCAACCGCTATTAAATTTTTATATGCCGCAATTAGTTGTAATTAATCGAGGAGTCATTTTTAGTCATAAACCAATGTAGAATTCTTTATGAACAATAATCAAATGGGATCTTCGTCACACGTGTGCATATTTGATGTCATAAACAGGCATTGTGTTCTAATTAAGAAATACTTCTATTACTATATATATATATATGCATATAAATAGAAAAAAAACTGCGAAAATCTATTTATGACAACAACAATAATGTTATACTTTTTTTTTACATTATTGCCGCCACTTAATATGATAGTTTGACGCAGTAATCAATTGTTTTTTAAGTACTTGATACTAATTATACTAATACATATTTATTATATTATATAACTTTAAAAATTTCGTATAAATTCTCGTTAAAAAAAATTTTTACCTTAAACCATTTTTTTTTCTTGCAATCAATTATATCGAAAAAATTTTAAATTTTAAATATTAAAAAATGCAAGAATCTACTACCACCAATTACGAGATAGCAAAAAGACCAACCGACCGTTTGAAAACCGTAAATACTGTAAAACTTCAGTTAAACTTTTATAGAGTTATTATTAAGGTAATAAATTCCTTATAAATAAACAGAATATTTTATTTATCATTAATTATTTTTTCCCCTTCGTACTCACTCCTTCACTTTTCGCTACGCTTTCATTACGCTTTCGAAAATAAATAGAAAAAAGTTACAATTCATTATTACTCGTTTGACGTATTTGAAACAACTAGAAAACCGGCGGGCAAAAAGGCTTCGAGAAAAGTCTACGAGTATATTAGGGCAAATGAATTTTTTGGAAGTAATATTATATCGTTTTATGATGGCGGGCCAATTTACTCTACTCGACAATTTGAATTTGATCACGAAGATAAAGACCTCATTGTAAGTATAATGGTAGTAATAATAAGTGTTTATTAAATGGATAATGGATTTTTCTGATGCATTATAATAAATATTTAGGTCAATCTTCCCGCTGAAGTTGAAGGAGGAAGAAATAAAAGTTATCGAGTGAAAATAAGATATCAAGGAGAAACTGATTTAGGAGAAATTGTGGATTTCACTTCTTTAAATTCAAATACAAAATGGAATAGCAAAGTTCAATCCAGCCTTTCATTATTGAACGCAGCTCTAAATTATATGCCCAAATCAATATATTTATCACAAGGAAGAAGATCAATCTATCCTGATTTACCACAATTTGAAGGGGTAAAAATTCCTGGTGGATTCTTGTTGAAGACAGGAATTCAACAAGCTCTTAGACCTGGATGGAGTAAATAAATACTTGAAAATTATTTGTGCTACTCATTTTTAATCATATCAACATTATACTTATGCATACATATATTACATTATAGATGGTTTGGTAGTAAATATCGATAGAAGTTCAGTAATTTTTTATCTTCCGGGTCCACTAATTAAAACCATACCAGAAGTGATTTTCAAAGTTACTAAACGTTTAAAAACACCAAATGAATTAAAGAGTGGCCTAAACCCATATGAATTCCGTTGTCTTGAACATTATCTTAAA